ATTGCTGGTCACAATAAATGACTCCACAGTGAGTACGTGACTGTTAAATATTAGTCAATTTTGTTGAGCCATCTTACCTAAACTGAACAATCGTTTTTTTTGGCTTTTTCCCTTGGTATTCCATTCTCGCCCTGCTATTTACTATGCACATTTATTGCATAATTTAAATTTTAGACTGCTCTTCCATTTTTCCTCCACTTCTTGGCATGCTACGCACTGGTAATAATAATAACCAAGATCCATATTCTGAGCTTGTCGACAGGAGAACAAATTTGAAGCTTCTGTGTTGGCTGCACCAGATGTCCAGAGAGCTTGCAAGGACCATGATCTTGACACTGAAGTTGGTTATACACATGGCTTTTAGCACAGATTATGCTGTAACTACAAGGCTTTTGTTTGTATGACGCCTTAAATGCACTAGGCTCCTGATCTCTCTCAGAGTATTAAAACAAATAGGTGTTATAAAGACTAAATAGCACTTATAATTAGTAATACAATTACAATGAGAGTGGAACCTATCACCATGCACTATTTTGATATTATTACTATGCATTAACACTTGCTTTGGCCCATAGGATGAGTCACACAGAGGACTGTCTGCATTAATGCTGATAGGGACCAGATTGTCTTCTGGTATATACTGGGATAGCCCTGGAGAAGTCAACAGAGAGGAGCTGTCTTATAGCCCTGGGGATTATGGCCTTGGTTGCTCCACCATGAGCCTCAGTGGGAGTCAGATCCAGTCTCTAGTGCATTTTCTCTAGGAGATAAATAAAATGAATAGCTAACTAGGAATGAAAATTAGAGAAAGAAAATTTACTCGCACAATTGTGTGGTTCACTTTCAGTGATTCAAGTTTACTATACATGCTACATCAAAACAAATCTTTGCAATTAAATTTTTCTTGGGGGAAGGGAGGTGTTTTTTTCTGAACTCCTACACCCTGGTTAAAAGCTTAAAACAGGCCGAGTTGTGCAAGGCTGCGTTGAGACTGATTAGGCAGGGAAGTGTGCTCTGGCACTCCCATCGGTGTGAAAGAGAAATGGACCAGGCTCCTGAAGTCCGTCCTCGCCGGAGCTTGATCTTCCTCCCACTTGTTCATGTCAACAGCCTTGATGAAGGAGCAGGAGACGCATCCAGCCCTTACTCAGCAACAACTGCTATGGAAATCAGAGGGAAGGGTGCGTGCTCAGCTGCTTTTTATCCATCAGGATTTGAACTACTGCAAGTTCTGTTTGTAGTAAGGGCTCAATAAAAACTGGCCAGAAGGCCTTAAGATTTGATCCAGTGGATTTTCAGTGTACATCTGTGGGGCAAATATTGGCAATACAGGAGCAGTGGCAAAAGCTAGGCTTGAGACACAAATCTAACTTGAAAAATCTGTATATTTATTTCAGTTTTGCAACTGAAATAAACTTTGGCATTCTCAAAAATGGACTTGCAAACCATACTGGAAAATGTTTTGGTACTCGAGTGAGATCTTCTGTCCCATACTTTATGGCAACCATATCAGATCTCTGTAAAAAGAGGAACTATTATCTTAAATAAACCATTAGCTTACTATAATTATTCTCAGATATATTAGCTATCTTCTTAGTGTTCCTAAAAGGCGCTGGTCTTTACAGTATTTTAGCTATACATCCTTAAATCATTTTACATCACTATCACCAACACTGCTTAGCTGAGCTTTGAATAGGTTATCCCAGAATAAAGACTGGCATTTTCTTCCACCCCTGTAAACGCTGGCATGATTACAGAGCATTTTCACTGGCTCTAAACTAAGTTGATGAGTTACAGAAGGGAACAACTTTTTCTCTAGCAGTGGAAGCATACCAGGTGTCAGGTAGGAATGCCTGGCCATGGTTAACCCCTGACAGTTTTGAACAGTGACCTAGATATCAGAAGCAGCATATCACCTAACAACATGAAATACAAACACAATCTATAACCTTTATTACATATAGTTTTGCATTTCATCCCACTGCAGATACGTCATTATTGTGCTGTGGGCAAAGATGAAAATAGCATGCCTGATATTATGCATTTATATAATGCATAATAATGCTTTGCATCCATATAGCACTGTTCATTCTCAAAACACTTAAAATTATTTAAACCTCAAAAAAGCTGTGAAGTAGTTCAGTATGTTGCTTCTATTTTTTTTTTTAGTAATTATTTTTCCACTAAATCTTATGTGTAAGTGCATCACATCAAGGAACAATAGATCTATGGCCAAATTCTGATCAAATTACTTTGGTGAAACTACTAATTATCTTTGAAGCCAATGGAAAACTTCCAGCAATGTAACCATCAGAATCTGGATCCTATTCCTACATACCATAAAGCTAAACTGTTATTGAATAGCTTGGTACATCTAAAAATAAACCCTTTGGTTTATTTTTAGCTCATTCTGAAAATCGGGTTGACATTTTTTCTTATTTCTCCAGCTAACTTAAAAAGTAAAATGCTTCTTTTCTTGTTTGCCATGTTCTCTTATCTTTTTCCAGGCATCCTCCCTTCATAGGCTGGGAAAGCAAGACAATGTGGTTTTCCAAGATGATGGTACTGGTGGCAGTCTACAGCCCCATACAGTCAGTTACCACATCTCAGGGGCGACCAGGTAACTCAGAGTAAGGTCCTCTTTCCTATCCCTGTGCCTGACTTCGGGGTGTTGTTTTGTGCAGTCATTTGGTCAATGTAAAGTGAACCTTGCTGCCTACCATTCTCATCTGGTCATTTAACATGCTCTTAGGTCTCTTTAAAGGAGACCTCTAGAATCCATGCTCTTTTAAATCCACTGCTGAAGCTACTGCAGCCAAGGTTATTGCCAGCTCCAGCTCAGAGGCTGTTACAGGAGGTCCAGATGGCCTTTCTTTGCTCCTGATAACCTCAGAGAAGGCAGGACAGATTTCAGCTTAGTCTTCAGTCTGCTGTAAGATGTGGTCAGTACAACTCATGGCAGTAAGCAGTTGTTTACCATTTTGTTCCACATACAAATTCTGTGAGGGATAAAATTTACTTTCTCTTGTGGGAGTAATCCATTCATTTGAACAGGCCATTGTGGTTTAACTGTTAAAAAGCCCAGGAATGCCTGTGTCATTTCTTCCGTTCCAACATTTTATTCTATCCTATCATTTGTTCAATTATCTTTAAGGCTATTCTGTCAGTTCAGTGTAGTCAGCAGAAAAAAAAAAAAAACAAAACAGGGAGACTGATTTGGGGGGGGGGGGAGGGGGGGGGGAGATGAAAAAAAAAAAAACCAACAAACAAGTACCCAACATCCCAAGCAATTTTAAGCCTCTGAAGTGGTAGAATGACTCAGTAAAAAAGGAAACCCAGTCCACTCAACAAAAAACTTAACCAAATGAAATATTATAAAAATATGAAATAAAAGTTGTCCTAAATAAGTAAAAAAAATATTCACTCACACAGACACACACACTTAAATGTAGCAGTCAGGAGTTTAGCTCACATCTTTCTTTCCTTAAAAAGGGGGAAAGACTACTGGAACTGACCCTGCACTCACCGAGGATTACATAGGGTCTTTGGAACAGTTAGAGACTTCCCTGTTACAGAATCGTTTATTGGATCAACTCATATCAAAACTTAAAATTATTCCTGGATCAAAAGCTGTTCTAACTTGGATCAGAATATGCAATGCTGCTGCAGGATATCTTTGCACCTTTCTGCGTCAACAAGCTCGTGTTGTGCTACTGCAGAATACATCTGGAAAAATTAGATCCTGCCAGGGATAGCAGCTCCATTTAACACAGAGTTTCTGTTTCCACAGAAACCACACCACTGAACTCTGCAGAGGGCAGATGTAGAGTGAGAACATCTGTGACCACTTAGGTTAATTGCCTTTCCCAACTCTTCCCCCACTTCTGGTCTCTGATGGCCTTCTGAAGATCAATGGCAAATCACCAGGCATCTTGTTGCAGGCCTTCTGCCATCCTGCTCCATCTCTTGGGGTTATCTAAACCTGGTTTTAAATCTGTACCCAGAGGACTACTTACAGAGAGTCTGCTGTCTCCTTTGTCCCTGGCTTCCTCTCTGTTCCTGGACAGACCATTTAGTCCCTCTGCTCCTCAGATCTACAGCTGAGCAACTGCTAGGGAAGCTTCCCAGGTCTAATGCAGTAATGTGTTACATCTTATGTGATAGCTCAGACACAGCTGTGATAGGAATCGTGTAAGTACCTGCTTTAAATAGTTATTTCACTCTTTAACGTGCTTTCATAATAAGTAAATATTTTCAGATAAAAGGGATATCAAGATATTGCATTATGTTACAGATATTTCCAACATACTATGCTATGTTTTATTACTCTCTGATACATAGTTTTTTCTAAGAATGTTAATATTTCCAAGAAAATTAATATCAAAAAATATGTCAGTGCTGATGCATTAAAATTATTCAAGCCTCCCCTTCTCTGCCAATATACTTAATCTAAACTCAAGTTACAAAAAGGAAAGAAAGAAAATGAGATTTTTAAAAAGCGAGTCTGAAACCATTACTGAAAGCCACAACAGTCAAAAAAAGAGTGCAGCAAATGAAAACAAGGGCTGAGATTCATGCAGTTGCTATTGCCTCAGGTTTCACTGTGGTTCTACCTCAGCGCTACAGTGGCTTGCTAGTTTCCTTTTTGAAACTCTTCAGATGTGGGAAGAAGTTGGCTGTGGCTGTAGCAACTGGGGGCGTCAAATTGAGAGACGAGATATCGGAGCTGAAGGAAATAATCAAACCCAGTTATTTTTAGCAATAAATACTAAGAGCCAGTACCGAGATCTTTAGTAACGTAACACCAATTTATAATGCTCTTCTGTATTTTCAAGCCATTGGAGGCATGCCCAGGGACCAGCAAGCAAATGTCCTTACTAGCTTCTTCAGACCATTGGCAACCCACATGTTTAACAGGTGGTCTTCCTTCTGTGAAATAGGTTTGCTGATACTGGTTTGGAGGCCTTGCTGATGTGGAAGAAAACTCTGTAACTACAAAGCTGTGCTATGATTTTATTATACTCCTCCCAGAGATCCAGGCTGGTCAGTGACAAATGCTGCTTTTATTTACTGTTTTCATATGAAGTTCTTGCATGGACATTCTTATGGCAGTCCCTCACAACATCATTGAAACTATAAAAGTCTTCAGTTACCCAGAAACAGTGAAGACACAAGTATATTTAGGGACAAATTTCGGTACAACTGACCTTGAGACAAATTCTGGCCCATTAAATGTATTTAAACCTTTGTTTGCATATACATGATGAGAGTATTCACAAGAGGTATGCGTTTCTATTAAAGTGGAAAAAAAAAATCCTCATTGTTTGGAGGCTTAAAGTATTTGGGGCAAATCATATGTTGTTTAACTTTTCACAAAGACTGTACTTCCTAATGATTCTTATGTCAAAGTCAGAATCTTGACTGTAACTAATTATTTATTTACAAAGTCTACATATAGTCAAAGTACATATAATTTTGTCCTGTGTCCCTCATGAAAGTAAATATCTATGGATCCCTGGATCTGCAGTTTGTAATGACCTCAGGAGTCCTTAATGCTATTACAGTCTTGTTAGGTGCAGCTGGAGGTATATTACTCTTACATATTTGCCAGGCCTTCCATTTAATTTTTCACAATATAGTAGACGTCCTGGTGCAATGAAAGGCAATAAAGACCAAGACTTTCCTTTATTTTAGTCACATCTCAGTGGTCACCTGCTCCTGCATTATTTCTGAACACTTTCACTGTTGAGAATTAGATTTGAAAATTGTGGGAAAAGGTTTCATTCAAGACAGTGTCTAAAATTGCTACTACAGTTGTGGATGGGATTTGGTTACTGTTAAGGTGGTGGAACCTCCACCCTTTCGGGCCTGAAGTTCAAGCCAGTCACTAAACGAACCACAGACCATCCGAGGTGGGTCTGGAGGGAGCGCTGGAGCCGGGAAACCGGGCTGGAGGGACTGGGGTTTCTGTGCTCGCCTGGCTGCACTGCTCCCATCCAGCACATCCCTGCAAACAAAAACAGGCCTAAGCACCAGCCAGCTGGCTTCATGGAGGAGGAGGCACACGGGCTTGGCTTCTACAAGGCACAAAGCAACAAGTCCGTTCCGCCTGTGTGCCGGGAAGCTGCAGCTGACTCACTGCTGGAGCTCCTCTTGGGAGGGACAAGTGCCTACAAAGCTGACTGACACCTTACTTTCCTCACTAAACGAAGTTGTCTAGTCATAAATAAACATGTCATTTCTGGCAAAAATGCAGAGAATGAGTGCTTTTCAGAATAATAATGGTGTAAGGGCTTAACTCTTACGCTCTGCATCCTCTCTCTTTGCCCGAACAACCAGCCAGCAACAAAACCAGGTACTTGCTCAGGCTGGAGCAGGGGCCTGTGCGAGTTTCTCAGTTCAGGGCAAAAGATCACAACCACTACCCAGAGCTTTCTACTGACACGAGTCTGTCCTTTTCACTTCTGATGTGAGGAGCCAAGGCTCCCTCCAGCTCCTCAAAACATGGATCCCAAGCAAAACACTCCTGCCGGCTCCTGCCTTCCTTAAATGACAGCCTCCCCCTCACAGGCTGCTGTTTGCACCCCTCCGCAGCCCCAGGGGCTGCGCTGCTGCCACTGTCCAAGCTCTGCTTGTGCTCTGCGACTCACCCTGGGCACCAAGCAGGACTTAATGTCGCCTGAAGCATCAATAACCTCCTGAAGATTTTAGTGCAGGTCTCGCACAGTGTGGAGCATCCTTCTTCCAGGAGATTGCTGCGCTCAGCCCATTGCCCATCTGCTGGTTTGTCTCTGAGGAGAGTGTCTGGGGGATGACGGGACCATCTCTGTGCTCACCTTCTCCTCCACGCAGCTCCTCACTCATTGCCCCTGCATCTTCTCACTCGTGGGAGACAAGAGGCCTGCAGTAATAACCAAACAAAATTAAACAAAGCTATTAAATGAATGAGTGACCTTATTAACGTGGAAGAAGATAACAGTAGCAACCATGGCCAAAACAACTGCAAAGCAGATCTTCAGATAACAAGAATTATTACATTATTACACTTTTAATTTCTGATGAGCCAACATTTTCCTATGAATTACTGACCAAAACATATTCAAACTTTAAGGCAGGAAGTCTTTCTAAGCTTTCCCTTAGTCAGTGGTGCCATTAAACACATTTAGAAGATGTTTGAGCTTACACTCCTTTCTTCTCCGACCACAAGCATGTACACAAATCCACACCACCATGGGCTTGCATCAGTGGGAGTTTTGACCAAGTAAGGGTTGCAGAGTCAGGCCCCACACAGAGCCCTAGACACAGCCTTGCTCTTATTTGGGATAAAAGTGAATGCATTTTGATGAGCTAAGCAACCAAACTGGGTTAATATCCAGTTTGTCAACAAACTTGTTTTGGCATGCTGGCTAGACTGTGGCTGTTTATCCCAAGTAAACCCAATCTTAGATTATTTTGTTCCCAGAAAAATGAAGGACCCTGAAATTTCCCTGGCGGTCAGCAGTGCCAGCTCTGTGAGGAGTGAGATGGAGCTCAGAGGCCCCTGCAAGGATTTAGGAGGCTTTGGGCTGAGGACTAGCTGGGAACCTCTGCCATTCCAGACAGACAAATCACGCGTGCCCAGAGAAACATGATGCTGAATGTGCAAAGCGCAAACCCAGTCACTCTGCTCATATAACGTGGGGATGTTCTCTGCCTGTGCCTGCATCAGCTGCAGAGGAAAAGCTGTTTTCCCAAGCATCTGGAAAACTCCACTGTTGGCTGACCAGTGCTGAGGAGCCAGGGGCACCTCTTGAATCACATCAGAACTAACACAGACAGAACTAAATAAATATACTCTATTTAGTGTGTTTACTTATAGATACAGATGCATATATATGTATTACCTATAAATATAGATAATAAATAACAATCTGTGCCCTATCACAAGCACAGAAGGGCTTCCAGGAGACATACACACAACCCATCAAGTGCCTTCCAAAGTACTTTTCGTAAGGAAGGGCTTTCAGAACAAGGATTGTGTTTACAGCATTTATGAAGATGTTTACAGCCTCAGCTACAAAAATCTGTAAAAATACTGCAATGGAAATTCAGGCACATTGCGTTTTTGTTTTGTTTTGTGTTTTTCTTTTTTTTTTTTCAGTGCAGAGGAGGTTGTTTTTCTTATTTTTGCAGATTATTTTTAGAATTTGGTGAAAGGTTTTTCTGGCTTTATAGCAAAAGCTGCTGTCACATAAACACTAGTAACTCCTCAAAGACAAAAATGTGTGTATGGTTCTAATTTTAAGTACATGAGGTCATCGGTGAAGCGTTTGAGGACGGTGTGCCGGTGGGACACGAGCGGAGGGATGCGTTGCAGAGGGTCCCGTCGATCCGATTTCAGCTTCCAGTGGGTAAAGGAGGCCGGCGGGCCCCGGCGCGCGAATAAACGCCTTGATTTACGCAGATGCTGACACAGGGTTTTACGAGCCTCCATAAAGCCTGTGCCTGGGGCTCGGAGCCCCGCGCGGGAGGCGGGCAGGGCTGCCCTTCGAAAAAGCCGACCGCTGGTAAAGGGCGAGTCCCCGCAGCAACCCACTCGCCAAGCTGCAGGGGGCCGCGGGGCGCCCGTGGGCCCCCTTCCCGCGCCCCTCCATCCCCTCGGCCTCCCTTAAACGAAGCAGCACACCTGCCCCGGCTCACTTCACCTCGGGCCCGGCGCGCCCCTCCCGGCCGGCCCCCACGGCGGCGGCGGGGCCCGGCGCGGCGCCACCCGTGACGGCTGTCGCGGCGGGAGCGGACGGCGGCGGCGCCGGCTGGAGGTTGCCCGCCCGCCCGCCCGCGTTTGCCGCGCCCGCCCGCACCGCCCGGCGCTTCCTGCGGCGCGGCGGCGGCTGGGCCGGGCCCAGCGCGGCGGGGCGGGGAGGAGGGGGAGGAGGAAGAGGAGAAGAAGAAGAAGAGAGAGGAGGAAGGGAGCGCGGGGTAGCGGCGGCAGGAGGAGGAGGAGGAGGAGTCGGTGCTGCCGCCGCCGCCGGATGCTGCGAGGAGGCGCCGCGGCCCCCCTGCGCTGCCGGCCGCTCACCTGAGCGGGGAAGAGGAGGAGCCGGCGGCCGAGCTGCGCGGAGCCCGGCGGCGGCGAGGCGGGCGGAGGGTCGGTCGGCCGGCCGGGAGGGCGAGGCCATGGCGCCGGGCGCCTAGCGGGGCCGGCAGCGCGGCAGGAGGCCCGCGTCCCCGCCGCCCGCGCCCGGCTGCCGGCGGGGCCAGCCGGCGGCCTCCGCCGCGGCCTAGGAGAGCGGGCGGCCTTCCCCTCAGCGCGCTGGGCGCGGCGCCGCCGCCGCGGCCCACAAGATGTCCACTCGGACGCCGCTGCCCACCGTCAACGAGCGGGACACGGAGAACGTGAGTGCCGCGACGGGCCTCCCGCCGCCGCGCCCCTTCCCCAGCCCGCCGCTCCCTCTCCCCGGCACCTGGCGGCGGCCCGGCCCGTCCTGCCGCCCAGGCCGGGTGCCCGAGGGGCGGGCCGGGCCGGCACCTCCGGCTCCTCGGTGCGGCGCTGCCGGGGCGGGTCCGGCGCGCCGGGCTCCACGTCGCCCCGGGCCTCCCGCGGAGCCGGCGGCTGGGCAGCCCCTGACACGCGTGGCTGGGCCGGGCTGCCCTTATATGTACGTGGCTGGAGCCGGCGGCTGCAGGCGCACAGAGGCGGCTGGCCGCGGTCCCCCGGCGGGGAGAGGCCTCCAGCCCCCGCGGGCTGCGAGCCGGGCTGCTCTGCCTGCACGCATCCTTCTCTGCCTGGGTCGGGGCTCCCACTCGTGGGCTTCCGAACTGCCTGGCACTCGGCCGCGTCTTGCCTTCCGGGATTCAGCCGTACTTGCTCTTTGTTTGGCTTGCCCCTCGAAGATGGTCCCCGGCGTTGCCGTTGCTGTATTCCTTCCTCTGTTTTGCTTTGTATTGCATCTGAGAGAGGATAGTCGCGTCCTTGGTCCCTCACGAGTTGATTGTTAGTATCTTCCTTTGTGCTCTCTTTAAACATCTTTGCACTCTTCCTCTGCTCCGCCCGGACTTGAAGAAGTAGAAGCATAGTGTTGTTCTCCGATGTGGTGATCTTCCCGCAGAAAATAACCAGTCTTGGTCACAATAGACGGTGTACCTGAGAAATCTTAAAATCCTGGACCACATCTGGTCCTGTCCATAGGTGGTAATTATTTAAAGAGGCAGTAGTGTGAGAGGTGTGCAATTTTCATCTTAGGTGAGGGGACCAATGTTAAGAGGTATGTTTGGAATGTGTGCTGAATATAGTTAGTTTCCTTTAGAAAGGCGGTAGAAGATGCAGGAGAGAAAAAGGACTCATACGAAATTTAACTCATGAAGTCACACCAAACTCCTACTTGGGTGGAAAGTGATTGATAAGAAGTGAAGGAAGATGGCCTTGTGGGTTGAGATAGGTTGAAGAAGATACTTGTTTGTATTGCATCAATCTGTAGAGGTTCTGGCCAACAGCAGGAGCTCACAATGTTTGTTACTGTACAAGCTGAAACAGCAGTGTCTGCTGAATAGGTTACTGAATTATGTGGAATGAAAAGAGAATACGAGAAGAGGGTTTGGAAGATAAAGGTAACAGAAGTGAGATAATATAGTTAAAGAAGTGAAACCCTAGCTTGGTGTCTTATTATAATGACCTTTTACTATCAGTCGCTCATTGAAAGTTTAATTGACATAGCAATATCAGCCTAGTTACTAGTTAAAGCAAGTAAATGCATTTGGTCTGTCCTAACTCTTCATGGACTGATAAATTCTTTATTAGTATCAAAAGGAAAGCAAGCCCTTAAAATGAAAGTTTAGATTTAATTAAATTACAGAGTCCAGGTTTGAGTGATATATGTTACTTGTGAGTCTCCATTTCAAATGCATATAGAAATGTACACGAGAGATGGATGACAAGAAAGAATAGGAAATATTTATGCATCTATACAGTAATATAGTACATAAGACTTGCAGAGTACATTTACACAAGACAAATAGAAATATTCTCAAACATCAACTTCTATAGAAGGAAAACTTCAATTAAAGTGTTAGTAATTAATTTAGAGGATGATATGCTACTTTGGAATGATCTGTTTTGACACCTAGAGATAAGTAAGGATTATTATTATTTCAGAGAGTGCATTTGGTATCTAAAAAACCCAGGTTTGTAGAGGATACCAAGATACTAAAAATTGTACATTTGCTCCTGAAAATCTCAGTATAAGTCTGTAACCTAATGCTAACGAATATGATCCTCCGGCCAGATAAACAGTAAGGAGCCATGTAGTAGTATGTTCCCAAATCTATACAAAGTAATTCTAGTGCTGTCATTAGGATGGTGTCGTCTGGGTTTTGGAGCAGAGATCTCAGCCAAGGAGGCTGTTGCTTCTGCCTGTCGGGGAGCCTCGGGAAGCCCTCTTTACTATTCGTGGTCTCCCTTATGTAAAACCTTTTGCTGAAGTGGCAAATGTGGGATGGAGGAGGAGGAGGTCGGTTGCTGACTTCCTGAACAGCAGCATTCCTTGATTTAAAATGGACTCTGTCAGGGTGAGGTGAGACTTTTAATTTACTTTTAATGTGCTTCCTCCTGCTAATAAACACTAATGGACTGGGGAAGAGTTGATGCACAAAGTTTAGCTAGTAAGCTCTGAGTAAGAGCTAAGGTGGTAAGAAGTTGCAACTAAAGGGAGAAGTTATTGGAAAGAGTGAGGGGTTAAATCGGCATAAGTATGAGTAGTTTGGGCCTGGTAAATAAATCCATGTTTGTAGTGCATCTTTCCAGTTCTGGAGTACTTGTATTAGTGCAGCTCTCCCAAGTTATGTGGCTAATGGTGATCTTCAGGAGGGTGCTCTTCTCCGTCTCATGCACGTGGCCATCTCGACAATGTTGGTCTATTGTGTGACTCTCAGGGGACAGACTAGCTCTGTATCCCAGAGAGAGTTGATTGATGGTTCTGAATACAAACCTACGTACGCGTCCAGCTGTGCTTTGCACGTGGCGTGCGGTCGTTGCATGAAATCATGGGGAACTACCCTACCACCACTCCCCCCCTGTCTCTTGGCAGCTGCTTTCAATGCTCTTTAAAATAGAAAATAAAATTTAAAGTTATGCTTTTCTCAATGAGTATGCAAACATGTGTTCTGTCATTTGGGGGGAGAAAAAAAAAATCTAATAATGTGATATAGCACATATCATAGGAATATATATTCCTTGAGGAATTATGGGAGTTCCAGGTGGGATGGGTGAAAAAGCTGTATATTTCCATAATTCTTTGTGCCTTTTATCCCACAGTGTCCTTTGAAAATAGTCTAGAAGAGATAAGGGTATGTAGCAGACCACTTGATAAGGTCTTATCAGAACAGTGGAGTGAAAGGTACAGGGACTGCCAACAAGGGACAAACAACAGGTGGAGGGAAACAGTGGTTGTGAAACAGTTGGTATGTGTATAACCGATAGGTCTGCATTAGAGAAATTCACACCTCTTTTTTTCTTTTCCTTTTTGCTAATCTTTACATCTCCCAGAGCTATTTTTAACTGTTCTAGTATATGTCCATAAATACTTTTCACTGTAACCGTTACTCCTCTTTCATGAACAATATGTTTAAGGAAACAGAATATGATTGTCAAACACTTATTAAATAGTTTATTGGGAAACTTGGGGAAATTAATGGGTGGAGACAGTACAGTAAAGATTATTTTCATGCCTATTACTGAATTTTTTTTTTTTCAAGTGAGGAGTAAGAGTAATAATTTTCCCATGTTTTGATTTTGTACAGCTTTCTCTTGATACATTTTATGTAGTCTGTGGTAGGTAATGTTTCAGTGCATTCAAACGCTTGCAGTCGGGTTTAGTTTGGGTGAACTGAGCTTCCCATCTCTGCTGAGGCTGGGAGAGGAGAGGGTCAGGAATCAAAAGCTTTGAGCTAGAGTAGCTCTTTTGTTTTCACTGAGTTGAGGAAAGAGGGGCTCTCGTGTTTTCCCCTTCATATTGTATTGTATCATGTCATTAAGTTAGGGAATGGCTTTCCTGAATTAAGGCAAAATAAAAGAAATATGTTGGTAATAATATTTTCTTAAATATTTTTGGGGAACTCTGTATAAGAAAAGATTTGGAGATTCAATAATTGGCTGTATACTGCTTGCTATAGTAAAATGAATAGAAGTTAGAATGCTGTAGTTTGCTGTTTCTGACATAAGTACCTCTTAGTCTGGCATAAGAATACATTGTTTTTTTCCCTATAGTAAGGGTAATTTAATCTTTTGAAGGTATTACTATTATTTGTGAAGGCATTACCATTTATATTGTGGTGCCACCCATCTAGCAGTTTTAAGGTATTATTTTGCTTTGTACTTTTCAGACATGTAAAAGTTGGTTAATTCTGCTGCAGAGATCTTGCATGTTTACAGTGGAGGAAGGAACAAACAAGGCAGGAGTGCTAGACAATAGCATTGACCAGAGTTGAGGAGGAATGTGGGAATTGTGGTTTATTTTACCTAGCCAGTGCCATATGAGAATGATTAAGAGATGTCATGGCAGAGGGAGTTTTAAGGAAGGATAATACAGTGACCTATGATCATGTGATTTGCTTCATTATCATTCAAATAATTATAATTTTGACACACACACACCCCCTTTGCAGGCCAGTGAGGGAAGAGTGATGTCTGGGATGTCAGCTAAAGTGGGTGTGGTTAAGGATGATTTTCTGATAGGGGAAGCTACTGGGCAGCTGCATTTTAAAGAGGAAAAAAAATTAATTCAACAGAGCAAGAGGTAAGAGGATGGAGTGGTCAGGTTGGAATAATAATAATTATACCATGTTTAATTTCTTTCTGGTTTGTTGTTTTTGTTTGTTTGTTTTGTTGTTTTTTTTTTTTTTTTTTCTTCTGGATTTGTTTTTGCACAACAAGAACACATGGTTTTGATTTGGACAGGGGGCGTGGGAGAAAGTGTCTGACAAGAATTCTTTCGTTCAGTGCCTTAAGCAGAAGAATGGCCTAGTTTCCAAGCTTTATGGGTTCAAGAGTACAGCTGTATCTTTCTTATCCAGAGTGGAGAATGCCTGTGTTTTTTCCTGTAAAATTATTTTCCTTGATCGTAAATACACCATTAGGTCA